CCTCTGGAGTATAGTGTGAAAGTATTTGGTACAGTATCATGTGGTTGTGCAATACATGCAACATCATCCAGTGATGCCGGAAATGTTGTAAGATTTTTTGAAAAAAAATTTTTAAAAATTTCAAATAACTTTACAAAAATCAAATCTAAAAAATTTAACCATTTTCAATTTAACAGTAGCAATAGCAATATCATTATGTAAGCAAGGTCCCGTGAGATAATCAGCCGGAATTGCAATCTGCAACAATATCAAAACGAAGTATAAAATGAGGTAAAGCTTATTTACGTTTCCATCACGTGATAATTTGGTATCAAATAAATGTTTGTCCACCACTTATCTATTTGATGAATACAGATATGTCAATGTTTTATTTTAAAGTTTCATGAAACAATGAAAGCGTAAAAAGAGTGAATTTAAAAATTAAATGAGTACAATTAATTAAAATTTCGGATAGAAATACTCAAATCAAGTCTATTATTACTAAGAAAAAAGCAATAAAAATCAAATTTTAGCTTTGTTTTTGTATAATGATTACATTTTTAACATTTACTGATCGTGCCATTCGTTGGAAATTTGAACAAACATCTTTAGAAAATGGTAAGCAACCACCACCATAATATACTTTCCACTTTTTACCGCTTAATATTTTGGTTACAGTTCTTCTAAAAATTATTCAAAATTAATTATAATTTTAATTTCTAAAGAATTATTCAAAATATTTTACTAATTTTTTTTAACAAAAATTCGACTGATTGATTAATTCTTTCGGTATTATTACAATAAATAATTTTATCGTTTCGCGTAATACTCTTATGCTAATTAATTATGTCTAAAATGAAATCAATAATTTCGATTTTTCTAAAACCTTTTCTAATAACCTTTTTAAAAAGAAAAAAATTTAATAAAATTTTAGAAAAATATAATAATTTATGCAAAAATAATCATAAAGAAAATTTTTGTGGAAAAAAAGATTTTTTTGTGAAACAAAGCAATAGTTGATAATTAATTCGTAATTGATTACTAATTACTTACTGTTCACAATCTTTTTGGATAAAACAATGTGCAGCTGTTAATACATGCCTATCTGATATCATTGTACCAGCACAGCTTGATTGCATACCTTAAATTTTATTATTTCAATTAAATTATTAAAAAAAAGAGAGGTCAAAGTTGAAATTTGTTGAATATAATGTTGTTCATTGATTAATTATTCAGCTTCAAGAAGGTCAAAAACCTGACGAGTTTATGTTTAATAAGCAATCGTTAAGTGTATAAAATTATAAATACGCATTTTACCATTTGAAAAAAAAGAACATTTATCATTTAATCAGCAATAACGATAATTCACTGATAATTAATCGATTAGTTGTCACTTTAAATATTTAATTACTGCGCAAGAATATTTGCGTAAATTATTGAGTTCATCGCAAAGAAATTTCGGCATAACA